CAGTTTTCCTCTGAATTGGTTGCAGCTCTAGACGTGTGAACATTCACCACCCTGACACGTTAATATCTATGACTATATTTTTTATTGCTGTACCATTCATTCATGTTTTCTCTTATTTCACAAATATAATAACCTGGTTACATTTACTTCAGATTTTTAGGTGGTATAATAAACACATGTGAAACGAAATAGGTCAGTGTAGGTAATATAATGTTAGCGCCACAGGAGTTATTTCCATGGGTGGTGAAACAATGTCTTTTTTTTTTTATATCAGTGCAGACACACATACAGATGTATGTAGGACATTATGCAGCAGTTGTGATCAGCAGTGGGTCTTGAGGGACCTTGATGCTGGTACAGCTGTACGCTGACGGACTGCATAAAGAAGCTGCATCGTCCTTATTTTGTCTCACGTCCACAGTCCTGTGCAGGTTTACTGATACTCAGTCGATTCCCAGATTTATCACATGTCCCCTGACCTGTTACGTAATCTGCTCAGCTCCTCTGAACCGAGCGTGTTTTGCAAGCAGCCATTGATCACCATCATCTTTATTCACCTCGTTGGTTTGTAAGCTCAAGGGAGCAGAATCTGATAGAGATGATGTTACATAACCGGGCTCTCTGTAGAATGTTAATTGTTCCCCTGACAGCTCATTAGTTAGACATGTGATGCTGCATGTATATTATTCAGGCAGCCGGGCTGTATGGCTAAAGGATCGCTCAGCATTGTTCTTTCCAGAATGGCTGGGATGGTCGACTTAAGTTCTGTATAGAAACCTCGGCCCAGTTTTTCCTCAGTACTTTCCTTTGCTTTGATCTTCGTTCTAAACTGTCATGCTCTGACGTTATTCTGTTTGGTTGTTACCTCAAAGCACACATTTCTACAACTTTAATCACATTAGTCTTTGAACTGATGAACACCCTGCACACTGAATATATCTTAGATGCATGTGTTAAGGAAATGTAAAATTTAATGGGGGAGAAACGGCTTCCCCCTTGCTCCCAAAATGACCAAAATGCATCCCCTTGTTAACCTGTACATTTATTTGTTTGTGTGTTGGTTGGTTAAAAAACAATTCTGTAGAAGAATAATGATAAAGGAAGTCACCACCTCACAGGTTGATAAGACTGGCTGCTCAGATTTGTTACAAATGAAACCTCAGCGGTCTGAATCTGTGTTTTTGAGACTGTCATCGATACACACTGCAGTTTCAAGGTGAAAATACTCACTGCATACTTCACTCATGATGTGTCTTCTGCAATGTAAAAACACCACATGCACATGGCTAAGCCTCCAAGCTTGTAGACGCTGTCGGCTGACACATCATGTTTTTGGTTTAACAAGAAGTAATGCTAATTATGACAAAATTTCACCCAAATGCCTAATAGGATAAAGTGATGACATCGTAGATACAAGAGGTCAACTTCACTGTGATGATGATGTTCTGCAAAAAGCCTTTTCCAGCCAAAATTCAATGTCATGACTCAGGAAGAGAAGGGGAGACCGTGACCACATGTCACATTTGGTTGGGTAATGAATTGGCGACCCCAATCTTAAGTGCTCACCCTGAAACTGAGGTGACTGTATTTGAATTGGAGATGTGTCTGAAGCATCAGCGTTTTAAAACTGTAGAGAATCTATATTCTCTCAGCGAAGACGGCATGTTTCTAACTGAAAATGATCTACTGGAGTCATACACGTTACTATAGTGAAAATTGCAATCGAACCACAAAATACACTCTTTACAAATCTTCACTACACAGACATGAATGTAAACTGCAATTTGACTGTTTGGCGGAGGCCTGCAACAAGGTGGTAATTCTAGGTGTCTAAGGTTTCAGATAAATGAGAGTTTGCTATTTTGGAAATAAGCAGTGCAGTGAGTCTCACAGATCTCAGCTGATTTCTGGCAAGAAGTGACCTTTCTGGTTAACCTCAAAGAGGAATATTTAGACAGAATGGAGTTAGTGGTTGATACATGGCTGTGCACTGGCTTGACCACTGTGAAAACATCCCTGTAAGATCTCTTTAGATCCTCAGAAAACCCCGAGCTCTATAGCTTTTGAAGAATATGTGGTCTCTCTTATCTCTGTCTCACTCCATCCTTCCCTGCCTCCCCTCTGTCTGTTCTCTGGGACCTCTTTTGCACTGCATTCCCACTGTGGGATTGTGGGTAACCTGTGTGTGACTGAGGGGGGTGGAGGGGGGGATTGCATTTGTTTACAGCCATGTCATCTGCTCAGTTGTCACACACATCAGAAATGATTTGTTTCTGCTTCACACACGTGTTTGTGGCTGCGTGTGTTTGTGCAGGCAGACACGCATACCACAGCAGAAGTAACACATTGAATGGGCGCTTTTTTAGTTGCTAAACATTGACAACCCCCTCTAATTAAGTAGCTGGCCCAGAGAGACACTAGGCTCCTTAAGCATCCCCTCCTGTGAGCGCTCGTCTCTTTGTGAACCAAACAGTAGGAAGGAACTTGTCTGACATGCGTGAAGAAGCTGTCTGTTCAAGAATCTACATCTCTCTTACCTCCCCCTTCTCCGCTTCTCTCCGCATCACTACAGATGGACAACAAAGGCTGGAATGGACAAAAGGCGTCTTTTACCGAAGCGACAAGTAACAGTGAGTATCGGCACGTCTCCCTGTGTCTCTTTCCATTTCCTTCTCCTCCTCCTCTCCAGCTCTCCATCACTCCCTCCATCCCGCAGGTGGTTTTAGCCACCGAGATGGCCCGGCGTTTAATCTCTGTGACTGGTCAATGGGCTTCTGACTGTCAGCTTAATTGGCCGTGCGTCCTCGTGGGGAGCCTGCGAATTCAGGCTCATTCACACAGGCTTACAGGGCCGGCACACAGAGGCCCTCCGGGGAGTCCCCCCGCTGCCTTCCTGTGCAAAAAACACAGCCTTTCACTCAGGATTAACACACAAGCACGGCGGAGTGCAGATACACACACACACACACACATACCCTTACTTCTACACACAGAGAGACACAAAGCATTTGATGAGGCAGGGTATATCATGATATGAAATGAGAATTCATACAAAGAAAGATATGTCCACGTGTGTCTACCACATACCAGCTACAGGCAAAATATGATCATTAAAAAGTACCAAAGCTTTCAACGGACTTAATCGTTATTACACATAGTGCTGCAAAAGAAGATCATATGAATCCATGAGCAATACTGTGTGTCATAGCTTACACAGCTCCGTCATTTCCGTTTCACTTGGCTTGTGATGGCACTTTGGAATTCTTATCACATGTTGATAGGCAGCTGTCTTTCATCTATCAGGGTTGTTTTTTGATTGCAGTTAGAACCTTTTTTAGTCGCACTAGTCACAGTCCAGACTTGCATATCGTGACAATTATTAGTTGGACTGCAGTTCAATTTTGTCGATTCGTGGTCCCCAGAGGATGAATTCTGATGACATTGGCGATCCCCTGACTTTCTCTTTTCAGGTCAAAATGTAGGATTTTCCAAAGCTTTGGGTTTTGGCCAAATACCTGCAAAACGTCTGACATTCCCATCATCTGTGTTTTGGGCTTAGTGCTAATTAGCAAGCGCTAGAATGCTAACAGTCTAAAATAAAATAGTACACGTCTATCGTTATACCTTCTAAACATTAGCATGTTGGCATTATGAACATCTGTTAGCAAATAAACATAGCGCTGTGTCTCGGTACAGCCTCATAGAACTGCTCTCATGGCGAGCAGCATGGGACCCAAAATAATGAATTTTCAAATTACTCACCTGTTTAAATTTGATTGAGCTTACAGTGATGGATAAGGGTGTTATAAGAAAGAGCCACTTTGAGTCATGGGACAGTCCTCAGCTCTACTTCCACTCTACCTCCTTGTCTGTTTTTGGATTAACTGGGAGTTCGGCAGAGTCAGGAAGTGCCGACGTGCTTCAGAAGTGCTCTCCAGGAGCCTGTACGAGTGACGCTACAGAGGGTTTGTTCATCTGTATTTAGATTCCATGTTTGTGTAGCTGCATGTAAATATGCAGCTAAGTCTCTGTCAAAGATGGAACCAGATAAGAAGAAGAAACACAAACATTAAAAAGACAGCCTCCCTAGTCATCACTTCTTCTGTAAAAAGTAATTTACTTTCTTCCGACCTTGGACAAATACAAAATAATTTCATGACAAGATTTATATCGGATTTTACATGGGAATGTGATGACCTTAAGGGACATCTTATTTATAGAGGGGGGGGTGGTAGAACTCAAAGGACTCTGAAAAAGCATAAGCGTGCAATTCTGTTTGAAACAGCTGGTCTCTATCAGCTGTATCTGTTGTGAAGTTGGCTGTCTTGTCTGTAATCAAAATAAAAACAATGAAAAAAACCATTCTCTCACTAAAGTCAGCAGCTATTTCAAGTCTTTGCATTCTATTTTCAGTTGTTTTCTTTGCCTCCGGAGTCTGGCAGCGCTGTTGTTTCTCTACTTGTTCCACATGGTGCAGGAGTTGAGTAAGTTAATATTTATTACAGGTGAAATAAGTTAGGCAAAGTATGCACAGTCACGGTGTCGCTTAAGCAGATTAACATGCATTGTAATGTCTGATCTTGATTTTCTTTGATGTGTCTCGCTGATAGGACACGCTGTTAGCAGTTCTGCTTCAGATACCTGCGGAGTACATGCCATCAGCTTGACAAAAGAGCAGTTTCGGGGGACAAATGAACAGGCTCGGGATGTTGAGCAGCAGAGTGGAAAACAAACAGATAGCCTTATTAGATTTAAATGTGCTGTCGTCACTTGGGTCTAATGGAGGCTTTTGGCAGAGCTGCAGCGCTCTGACACGGGGTATCCAACTTCACTCTAGAGAGGAGAGTGAATGTGATGTTTCAGCCCCTCTCATGCTGAAATTGAACAAAAATTGGAAAGAGTAATCACTCGGACTTGTTATGTCTGCTTGTTCAGACCTGATATACCGAATCCAGATGAGAACTGAGCCGCCGCCACAACTTCTATAGCGCTCATATCAGCGTAGTCCAATCTTTTGAAAGCTGTATCATTTAAATCATGTTTTATATAAATTACCGCCAGCTCGGATAAACTATTTGGGCGGTTGTGGTTTCTATGGTAGCCAGAGTTCTAGGCATTGCCCAGTACCTCCAGAGTAGAGCCCTTTGGGAAACAAAGTCTTCCTTATTTGGTGATTATTCCCATTGTTGGCTTGGAGTGTGCCTTTGGTCCGGTGCCATTCCCACTTAGTTTATCTCACGCTCAGCATGAAGCTTAACTATCTGCTAATTACTTTAGCTCTTTATAGTTGTCCAAACCGCACAGTGCTCACACAACGCTAATGTCTGAATAATGTTTACTGCATAAACACCATTTACAACTCATTCAAACAGATACAGCTGGTCTCAGTTTTCTGTGCCTGTGATCGCTGAACGGGAGATGTTTCTTGTTTGTCTTTTGTTTTGATCGACTTTGACGTTTATTGAATAGAAGTGTGAATAACTAGCAGGCAAAAACACAAATAGCGGAAAATGTGTTCTCTTGAATAATTTTTATATGATGAAAGCAAATCCTTTTCTTTACCAATCACTTACTGACAGAACAATGTGTTTAAAATACAGAAGCCATGTTCGCAGTTAAATTCCTACTCTCTTGAAGTTTACAAGGATTTCAAAGTTAAAATTATTTATATTTTAGCCTTTGCTGATCTGGTGAAATCTGTTGTGACTAGCAGTAGCACCATGTTTGTTTTGATAATACGTGTTTTGGACTAAAGCTACCACTACCAACTGTTTTTCTAATAAACTGTTGACTATTTTACCAGTTAATCTAAATGACTAATTTTCCTCCAAAACATCAAAATGACTCCATTGTTTAGTTTCATTTTATTCTGGCAAACTGTACATGACTATGACGCAGACCAGAGTGAACTGCGTACAAATGTTTACGTGTTAAAGTGCAAAATTTTATGGTTAAACTTACAACTCTAACATGATAAAAGTAAATAAAGAGGTTCTAATATTTACATCAGTGGTGCAACTCCCAAAGAAATCCAAGTTCCTCACAAAAATTATGGTGTTTATGTTCAAGAAAGTGCAACATGGACACAATGAATAATTCACAAGCACAGACCAGCTAAAGCAACTCCTTCCCTCCCTTTTTTTCAAGTCATTTTTCTCGGACTTCTCTGGTAATAGCTTCAAATTCTATTTAAATACAATTTACATCTACAGTGAGATTGTCAAACAACGTTCTGTTTGTACAATCTGGATTTTAGCGGTCCACAGCAGCAGCAGTGGTCGTCCTAATAAGTCATATTTCAGTCATCGTTTCACATTTGTTCCATTGTCTGACACCAGAATATGCAAACGAGAACAGCTTTGTTGGGAGTTCGACTGTATTAAAATACAGAAATTGTCATCACAGAGAGCAGGAGAGAAGCAAACAGATGGAAAGAATAGCTCAAATCACAAAGCACCTTTTCTTTCAGTGATCATTTGAAGTACTACCAGTCCTTGGAAGCCTTAGTTCTTTGGAAAGTTTTCGATGAAACCAAGTCACACTGTGCTGCCACCTCCATTGTTTAAAACTGTAGTGCTGACTGCAGCCGACCAATGGCTGAAGCCAGAAATGACTCAATTCGTGACGCAACGTTTACGCAGCGATACTGAAGAAAAACATTTGTCAAAATGAACTGACCCCAAAGAAATAACACGCGTTGGTTAACGAAGTTTTCAAATATGCTGACTAATCAGAGCAGCTCATTGTGGAGGTCTGTTCCAAAAGACACTTATTTACCAGTAAACACCTCCTACAATAGATAAATTGCCAGAAATAAAAACCCCCAGCTTGTGTCTGTTTACATCTCACCCAAACAAACCATTGGTTGGAAGGATTCATTGTCATATTTTGATGAGGAAAACTAACACAGCAGAAAATGTTTTGCTTTGCTTTACTAGTGGTTGTTGTGGAGAATGAAGGAGTTTGTGCTGCAAAATCAGTAGAACAAATACCCAACACTGGTTTCTGACTGTATACTCTTTTATCTGTTCTGGTTATCGTAACATCCACAGTGCTGTCTTTGTGCAGCTATAGTCGACATAAAGAACATTTCTTATGTAAGGGAAAGTAGGAGAAAGTAGGTAAATGTGTCAAGGACTGTCCATTTATTGCTCTGTCTTTCAGCGCTCTTCCGCTTCAAAAGAAAATACATACACACCTCAGGCACCCACAACCTTTATTGTACACTGTGTGTACATACGTGTGTCCTTTGCCCCGTGTGAGCCGCGGAAGGCAATGCTACAACAAACAGGGTGGCTTAAGAGACAGGAAGGGAGCATAAAAAGAAGGCAGAAGAAAAAGAAATAAGAAGAGAGTGATTTTTCTCCCTTCTATTCCCATGGGTTTTGCAGCAGGGCTTTTCACTTGAGTTGCCACATTTCATTTCCTGCTGTTCATATATGTGTGTGTGTGCGTCTGTGCATTGTGTGCATGTGTGAACTATGTGAAGGTCTTGCTCCACAGTGGTGATTTATAGCGGCGGGCTCCGGCCCTATCTGTTTTCGATCAGTCTCATGCTTGGCTCTGGCTTCCCTCCAGTGCTCCCCTGGCCCACCGGACACCGAGTCTGGGTGGGACCCCTCCGCAACTGCCTGGAACCAGCACCACAAACACACTCTCCCTTACTCTTTCATTCCCTGCTTTTTCAGCCTCACTCTTCTTCTCTCCCGCTCTCCATGTTCTCTAACTTTATATACACAATTTCACAATCGCCATCCAGCATCACGCACAAACATACTCCGTCATTCGCTCTCACCATCTCTCCTCCTTTGTCTCAGTCTCGCTCTTCCTTGCTCTCACGCTCTCGCTTACCATCTGACACTGGCTTCAAGTACTCGATCACATGCAAACATGCAAACATGCTCACATGATGCACACTCAGGCGGTCACATAAACTCACATGGATTACATTGACTGCCCCCCCCCCCCTCAAAACTCTTCGTCCACTGCTGATGTCATGTTGGCTAACACCTTTCAATTTTTATGATGCTGCATTCAGAATGCACAGGCCTGCAAGTTTTACTTGTGTAAATTCAAATTAAAGTTGTCATCATGATTGGGAGGGGGGGAAAAAAATCCTAGCAGTTGTGTCATTGCTGGCAAGCCGCAGTTTGTTGTAGTATGAGTAATAAGCCCTGGATTTCATTGCTGTTTCCTTGAGCTTTTCTGCTCTTCTGGAAAGGAACGCAAACTTCTTTGTTCATAATGGGAAATACTGTCAGCAGGTTCCCAGAAACCCTAGACTAGAGTAAGCTACAAGTGTGCAAACTCTCTGTCTTTGTATGTGCGCAACTATGTGTGATGGTAAATGTTAACTCAAACAGGAAGTGGCCTGTCAGTCATGTGCTCACTCCAGCACTTTCTCCCAGCTGTTGGTCCATATGCACACACAAACAAGCCCTCAGACATACGCACAGACACACAGACAGCTGGTCTTCCTGTCTCTGGTGACCTTGGCTGGGCTTGGAGGCTCTGCATGGGTTTCACATCCACTCATCCCCACCTCCTCTTCCATCTGAACTGTTTCCAGCTCATCCTTCTCTTGTGTTCTTTTTCTCTCTACATATTTCTTCTTCTTCTTTCATGCCTCATGTTCTTTCCTCTCACTTCCACCGCTGCCACAAAGTGACGAAAGTAATGAACCTCAACCCACTGGTGTTTCCTCCTTCCACCTGTTGCAATTATTTCAGGTCAGTGATATCAGAGTCCAGGAAGCCAACATAAACGAATGAAATTTATCCAAATGATCTGTAGCGGGACATAGTCTTGGAACGCTCTTGTGCTCAGCTGGCTGGAACCCCGGCATGTCTGGATTGAGCTGTGTCCTGTTAAAGAAAAGCTGCTCAGACAACAAAGGTGCCACAGCCTCTCAGATCCAAGTCACTCAGGACATTTCCTCCAGCCACCGAAATATTCTCGCAAGACCTTTGATCTGAGGCTGAACTCGCTTCCAGGTTCTGTCGGGTCTGTGTTTGAAAAGACAATAAAAGTGGAGCAGGATGCCGGTTATGTGACGGTGCTGTTTCCCATCAAAGATGAAGTCATAGACGCTCTGTTGATATTGGTAGATGCTCCGTTTGTGTCTCTGTGTTTGTGTTTGAAAGTGAGAAAGAAAGAAGGCTGTGTGTATGTGTGTGTGTGTGTGTGTGTGTGTGTGTGTGTGTGTGTTTCCCAGCAGACACTTTGATAGTGCTCGGACCTGCCAAACCACAAGAAACTGTCAACTGCGTTTGGCGATGGAATGCCAGTTTGGGAACACACACTTTTACACACACACACAAATTGACGCAGTTAGGCATATGCATACACAAACACAACGTGGCAGTGTCTCGCAGTGAGTGACTGAGGAATCAGTATACATAGAATTTCAACGCCTTATAATGAGAGCCACACTAACCCCTTTTCTCTCTTCTCTCTCCCCACATTTGTCCCATTCTGTGTCTTTCTAAACCCTGTCAATAATTTAATGTTATTGCTTAATATTTGTTCTCTTCCAACTCTCAAAACTTCTCACTTTTGGTCATTTATCCATTCATCCAAACTTTATTTGCTTACTCTTTCTCTGTCCTCTTCTCTCCCTCATCCTAACCTCCCCCCCTCCTCTCCCATAACCCCCCTCCAGCCCAGAAGGGTCTGCTCCACCTCAGCCCCGACGTCTATCAGGAGATGGAGGCCAGTAGAAAGCAGGGTGGCAGCGCTCCGGGCTCCGGTGGCAGCAGTGGCGGCTCCGTCAACTACATGACCTCCAAAGACATGGGGCCCTGCTCTGCCCCGCTGCCCCCAGGACACCCTCCTTATTACAGCGGCTCATCCTCCTCACCCAGCCCGACCGCCACCATGGCCAGGGAGCTGCTGCTCAATGGTCAGTCGCCCACAGCCGATGCCTCACTGCCCATGAAGGGGAAAAACCTGGCCTGTGGCGTCTCGGTGCAGCCAGCACAGCAGCTGGACTACCTGGCTCGCATCCAGGGCTTCCAGGTAAGACGCAAAGAGGTGGACATCCGGCCGGATTCAGGAAACAAAAGTCTAAAATGTGTACATTTCATGGAAATACTAGTAGCACACATCCTATTTTGCATTCCCATTGGTAGGAATAACACTGCAATTTTCCTTTAAAGTAGTTCAGCTTTGCACATTGCTGTGACTTTGTTTTTCTGAGAGAAAAGCCCCGTTGCGGAGGATTTCATGCTGATATTCATGCGATTGTTTTCAATTTCGCATTTATTTCACTTGTGGAATGTGGGCATGACATTTTAACTGGCATCAATTAGCTCATAAAAGTCATAATTTAAACTAAAAAACACACCCAGTTGGTACAGTCGTACAGTTTGCACACATGCTAAAGTGACAGGACAGATGTTACCGTGACCATGCATAAATATAATCCCCCCTCCTTACACAAGAACAAAAACTGCACATCCCTGCCCTGATTCTTCTTCCTCTAGGCCATTGCTGTAAATTCAATTGTGGTCAACCTTTGTGGTTGTAAATAAGAAAGTCACACACGCACACACACACCACTTGAAACCTCTCCACAGAAGAGACGAAGGCTTTCTTTATCAAAACATTAGCTTTTGCTCTACACACACAAACAGGCAGGTGATGTGAGGTGGAAGTTGCACACGGCAATAGCACTTCTTTCCAGAAGAGTAATGAGAGTGGTTTTCCTACAGTACAGGTGGACTCATGTGAAGAGTCTCGAGTTTAGAGCTGCTCGATAACACCGTTTTCTGTTTCTCGCTGTGGACATTATTGGCAGACTGTGGATTTAGCGCTGGAACTAAACCTCACAGGTGTTTCTGTCAGCACCAGACCGAACACACACACACACACACACACACCCACACACACACACAGACACACACTTGCTCTTAGCACTCAGTGTGCGTCTGTGTCCAAGAGGGAGACAACCCGGTGTCTGTTTTAATCTGTGCCGGCCGATCTGCTGCACATACCACGCCACTGATACCAGCGCCTGTTCATTTAAGCTGCAGATGCTTTTTATCAGTTTGAGCGAAAACATTTTATCTTAACCTGCTGAGGGTTCCTTTGAAAGGCCTTTGTTATTGCTCTGAGCCTTCCTGTGTGTGTGTAACCTGAGAGAGCTCTGCTGCCCGGCCAAGCCCAAACACACTTGTACATATGCGCACACACACACACACACACACACACAGCAGGTTCTGTTTAGTGGAGATGGAAGGGTTCGGTGTGGCCTGTACGTGAAGTTTAAGTCATTGTCGTTCCCAAACTTTACAAACTTTACACATAGTTTTAAATATTTTTTTCCCCTCCGTGCATCCTGACATGCATTTCTGTGAATAATTACACCAACAAGCATCAGTGCGCTCACATATTTTCATGCACTCGTGTGTGTGTGTGTGTGTGTGTGTGTGTGTGTTTCTTAAGTGAAGAATTCAGGCTGTAATTGAGACATGCAGACAATATGTGTTCCATTGAGGGGATGTTTCATATCATGTGGGTTTGTAATGAGAACCTCTGGTTGCTTACGCAGCCATGTTCAGCAGACTTTTTAAGGCTTATGTATTCTTATGTGTTTTTGTGGGCCAAATCACCACAGATTTCTGATGTTTTTGCCAGAAACTGCACTTGTCTGCTTTTCCACTGGTCACATCATGCGCTGCTTTGTGTCGAGCCGGCTTTCTCTCAACCACACTCAACAAGAAACAATCACTCGGATCCACTGTAAGAATTTTTTTTTTTTTTTTTAGTAATTTGACAATAATCTCCTGGTCTGATTAGTAACTTTGTGTTTGTAATGTAATTATGCTATCCAAGTGAGCGGATTACAGTGACCGCCCAACACTGGATTAAAGCAACCAAGCAAGCACCGAGGACATTCTCATAGTGTCTGTTTCATCCATCCAGCCCCACAGACAAAGGCCCGGGCCTACCTGCTAAGCCCTTCTTTTGATTTGATTGGAAAATAGCCTCTAGTGGAAGCTCTAACTGGATAAGCAACAGTGTGTTGTACTCATGCCAGCTTGGAGCAAGGATGCTGGCACTTATTCCAGAGTGTTTGTATGCGTGTGTGTGTGTGTGTGTGTATTTGCTATTAATTTGGCTAGCGTGTTGTTGGCACGGCGGGTATGTGAGCTGGAAGTAGGGCAGAAACAAAAAAGCAGGAGGTAATAGACAACACATGGACCAAGGATGAAGTACTGAGTAACAGCCACGTAACAGATTTCTCGTCGTCCCTGTATCTTTCTCTTTGCTCTCTCTGTTTATTTTTTTTTAAGTCATGGTCTTTTTGCACCTCCTAGCATAATTGTTTCCTCTGTTCTTAATTCTTCCTCAAATTTACCAACTTTTTTATTTTTTTTTTGACCTCGGCATTGCAGTCACCAGCTGCCCATTTATTCTGCCATCACTTTACTTAATTTAGTCATCACAGACTGCCACCGCTTCCTTTTATTAACTGTTAACTTATTTAGAAATGAGTAGGAAAATGTCATATGGACAAATCAGTGATTGATGGAAATCTAATGATTTTCTTCTTTTTTTTTTTAACCCCTTCATAACTTAGCGGAGCCATGGTGCACATCTGGGCTGAGACGTATCTGCTGCTCCAGACCTGTTTTGATTCTCTGTCAGACTTGATTTATTCTGTCTCGTGCTTTCTACCTATTTGCATGAACTTTATTTTGAAAAACCAAGTAGGCTTTTTTTTATTTAAAGTGGGTTGTTTATCAGAGCAGCTCTTTTTGTCTGGCAGAATGTGACAGATTTAAAAGCAAATGCATGAAGGAGAGGGGAGTGAAATGGGCAAAGAGAAGAAGCAAGTGTGGGTGAATGTCATAAAATGCTGCCATTTATGTGTGGGCCAATATTAAATGTTTTATTAGACATTAATAGGTTGACAATCCTCTTTCAAGGATAAAGATAATATTGAAGCCTTCTCATTTCAGTGTGAGTCATATTCTTTGGCAGATTTATGTTACGATAGTGCATCAAATGCATTCTCAATATTGGGATATTAGTGGAGGAGTCACCAAGAAACTGACTCGGTAAAGTGCGGCGTTTTTCATTTTCCAACGTTTAGCCACCATCAGCTATCTCTTTACGTTCAGACACGGTGTTGTGCTGTAGGTCGCCCACGTTTTCGATGCACTCAGAGTGTAATTAATGTGCAGTCACTGCAGTTACGCACACAAAATGTCAGATAACAGACTTGAAGCGCAAACCTCCTTCAGGTCACGTTATCGGGCGCACAGGATGAGTGAAATGTGACTCGTTTCGCCACCTTCGTAGACAGTCGGCCTGCTAGAATATGAACATATCTGTTCCTGTTAAGCATGCGAGAAGGCTTTTAGGCTGTAACACAAAAGCCTCAAAGTGTACTGAACTGAGCAACAGTGAGTTTTATTGCTTATAACTCAAACTTGCAAGTGGAAGAATGCGCTACTCTTTAAATCAGGTCCAATACGATGAAACGAGATAATGTTCTGAAAAAGTTCTATTGATTTAAATTCTAAATTACATTCTGGTTTCCTTGTCCTTTGCTTGTACTGCGTAATCAGATTGACCCAGTTTTGCCCGAGGCGCACGAAAACAAACAATACGACACTGAACAGTAAGCACACTTCTCATTACTTTTGTTGTGCATACTGTAATACCATAAGCCATATTCCTAAGTAACTGGCAGGTACAGTGAATGAGGCACCTTTTTAAACATGAATTAGAAATTACACCCCTCTTGAGATTGTGTTCTGGTTTTGCAATGGAAAATATGACAGAACCACTTTGTGTATCGTAGCACAGACTTTAACCAGCTTGTACAGTTTTGATGACCTACATTAGGCATAACGTGACAGATTACTTGTGTTGCTTATGCGTATGCGAGGTGTTCAGAGATGGATTTCTCAAAAACATGAGCTCAGGATCGCTCTTAAGAAGTGCAGCAGTCATCACTCGCTCATATGGGTTACATGTTCAAATTTTAATGACGCAGGCTGTTGCAAAATCTAAGAAGTGACTTGAGATGTTCTTGTGCGTATGGTGCATAAAGGTCAGCACGCCAGACTATCATTCCATATTGTGTCTATAGGAGCTGAACTGTACTGTATCTACTGTATCTATCAGCTCTTTCCACCGTCCAGAGCAATAACACAGCAGAGATATCAATCAGCCGAGTTATTTTATCTAGTCACGGCAGGCTTAACGCGGGAGATGGATTTATAGAAAAGGGAGGGTTGTGCTCTTTGCTGTGCTGGAATCAGAACTTTTGTGTTGGAAATCCCATGTTAATGAAAACACTATCCTTGGCGGGTGGCTGGTGTTGATATCCATTCAGTGCAGTTCCCAGGATTTCTCACACTTTTGCGTTGTTTGTTCTTCTCTCTCTCCGCTTCCTTCTTTGGCCGTGTAGAAAAACCACTTCAAATGGTGCCGACTACACCTTGTACCCTGCCTGGCAGTTTCTACAACCCACCCCCCCCCTCTCTTTTTTTTTTTCCACCTTCTTCTCTTTCTCCTGCCTCCCTGATCTCCATTGCTCACTCTCATCTCTCTGTATCAACATCAAACGCCTGATCTGGTACAAACGTTCAAAGAACTCTAACAGTTTGTTTCCAACCTCCTTGTCATCATCTCATTCCTCTACTTTCTGTTTACTCTGGGATTTGCGTTAGAAAATACATTTTGGGATGGCTAATCCCACCACGTTTGATTTCTGCGGCAGTGTGATGGCTTCCAGCTGCACTCTGCGGCATATTTGTGTGAAGAGCGATCTTCGAAAACAAGTTTTGTCGGTGGTATAAATCAGACCGCTAATGCTGTGCTGGCTCGGCGAACCGTCTCTCTACTTACATGGTGGCCCTCTGTATGCGTGTTGGTGCGTATGCCTGCGTCTGTGTGTGTTTGGCAAAACTGAGTGATGATGTTTTTACACCACAATCAAGCCCATTTGCAAACCTTTAAATCAAATACCCTCAAGTGCCAGCACAGCATATTGCAAATTT